AATATAGGAATTGTTCTTTAGTTGTGTTTACGAAACCGGCACTACGACCACACAACTGACGTCTACATCTACCGATTATATCAATGTCCCTGGCTAGCTATGGTGAAAGAAAAATGAGGATGCACACTAAGTTTCTGTGGTGTAACGAGCACATTCGGAATTTCAATCTATTCACAAATGAGTATTCGGAATATTAATTCGATTAACGTTTGTATCCTGACACATGAGCGATATTTCGGTGACACTAATATGATATCTGTCATGAAGATTTTCTAATGGGTTTAGCGAGAATTTCATTGAATGAATGGGGATATTTTAAACTGCCTGGATTGCCTTCATTTCCAGAGGTACTATTGTGTAAAACTAGGTATTATGAAATGATCTGGTGTATAATCTGCCGAGTTCATTCATACCCACTTAAAGTAATCACAGCATCCCAGCTGTTCAGAGCACCGTAACCAGGTCCTATCATACGCCGATCGGACGAATCTGCTGTGCATGTATTATGTCGTCAAGCAGTATTAGTCCGCTGACTATTTCCCTATGACGCTTATCAATCAACTCATACTTGACATTCACAAAAATTCTTCATGTTTGTTGGAGGTTGTTTAGATCATCACCTCTGACTCTTATCTCCGAATGCATTTCACTTGGGTAGATGAGAGAAACTGGTAAAAGTGCAGGAACAAGAGTGTGGATGCAGCAACGATTTCGAAAGTCTCCAAAACGGAATAATCATTCCACGCTACACCATAATATATATTCCATTCATGGAGATTACAGTAAACGTTGATGAAGCATATGTGCTCTTAACCTCTTAGCTGTCATGATTAATTCTCTCTTCGTCGAGTACTATTAGTCATTTCCAAGAATACCTCGTTACCGGGAAGATAATTCCACGTCACCTATAAATCGTTAAATCGTCTGCATCATAGCTCTTCTAATGTCTACAATTATAATCAGAGATAACCCATAGTCGGTTCTCAGTTGAATTTGCGTCTATATGGTTGGCGATATCATGTGAGATGTATGAAATCAATGATCTCAGATCGTTTTGTGAAATAAGTTTCACAGGTTCATTGTGGAATCAAGTGAAGTGACCATCACGAGTCCAGGGATTCCGCCTTTGATCAATTTGCAATTTTGGAGAAAATTAACTTTGAAAATTAATTTGATGCTTGCTAGTGACTGGCTGTCTACAGGAGTAAGTTTCCTGGAGTTCTAGTGAGACGTTGGGGTCAGCAGGGTCGACCAGGTTGGATGTGGGGACAATTTCTCGCCAGTGACACTGACCAGCGTTGGTATTCAAATTCGCAAATTGACAAAAGTAAGAGTTAATAGGTTGTTGTGTCGAGCACGGCAATCTGATGGTCGACCAGCTCGCTGACAGAAGTCGAGAAATAATGGTCAGTTTAAAAATATTTCAGTGATCAGTCTTCTTAGTGTAGATAAGATAAATCTCTTATCTAGAATTCACACAAGTGATATTGATACATTGATTTGTATGTATCTGACTATCACTCATCTCATTTTGTGAATGTTTTTGATAGCAATGTCTGATCCAAACTGATCCAATTTCTCTTTCCATTGAGTACAGATTTTAATTGCAACCCGGAGTGCATTTCGTGTTTTGTCTTGCGCAATTACGCTTATATGTGTCTTTATCTTGTGTCTACCTACGTTGAATGCAGAAAATTTGTGTCAGGTGCAATAATCGTTTTTTTTTTTGTATGTACAAAATCTTGTGAAATCTGTGCAAATTACATTTAACTGAACAATCAGTGGTATAGGACTAAGTGTGTGTATCATCAATAACCTGTAGAGACAGAGAACTGCATTCTAGTTAGAACAATCGGTCAAGATCAAATTACAACCAATTCTCTGAGAGAGAAGAGTGTGCGTAGAGACTTCTTCCAATCGGTCTAGCCATCCAATCATCTTTCCACACGAATCCATGACCTCAAGTCATCCAGTCGAATTGAAATCAAACAAGTATACAAATTATACACAACACATGATGAAACCACTTTTCCTTAGCGTTACCTGAGAGTGTGGTGAGAATCGAATAACAACAATAACAACAAATGATACTGGTTGGTGATTATCGTCCACTGAAAACTAACAATTCAGTGATATAACCAATCACACTGGATAAATAATTTGTAGATATTATACAATTGAAACAAAGTGATAACGAGATAGTTGGATGTGTTGCACCAATTGAATTTCAATACCATTGTTTATTTTTCTTCTCTAAAGTCGCATAATGCAAAAGTGAATTGTATTCATGCATTAGGACGATTGTCTTGAGGTGGTATTTATTGAATTTCCATCTGCTCTAACTATACAGACGTTGGAATTAATCATTTCAATTTCGCTGAGATTTTACAAGTATAATCTTTTTTTTTTTACAAATGTCTCTATAAACACTGTTATTAGATGAACAGCGACTGAATGTTCAAACTCTAGGTAAGCATATTTTATTGGTGCTATTTTACACTAACACTCATGGATTACAATTTATTATGTTGATTTGTTGAGATGATAACATTCCGTGATTTCTCTCTCTCAACTTGAATTGTTGGCAGTAGCAAAATGTAATGTTTAACATTATGAATGTCCAGACCGTGGATGATGCTACGAATTTCGTTGGTTAGTTCGAGTGGAGAGTCACACTAGATCATTGTAAAATTAACTCAAGGTGATGGTGATGTGTTCAGGAAATGAAAACAAGGATTTGCTGAATGTTCCCCTGTGTAAGCCATGGCTTCTTCAGTAGAGTTACTGGGATTTTATTAGACGTCAAAATATCTAGTCAGATTGTGTAAAAGTCCCTTTCTCAGTAGATACTTGTAGCGACGGAATAATGTAAGCATTCATGATAACCAACGCTCAATTTCTAGTCATTTATGTCAAGTCATCCAACTTATTTGCTCAATTTTAGTTCTAATTTAAATGGCAATATTCTCTACCCCACCTCTATTCAGTTTGTAATTACCTCTGCTGCTACCTTGATCTAAGTTGAAACATTTAAGTCAGTTATATTACGTCGTCTAACTTACTAACTCGATCTTACTTTAGTTGCTGTCTAATTACCTTGTTTCTGTAATAGAACATTCTTGTATTACCTGATTGATTATCTAAACGTGACAAACCTCATGTACACACACACACACAAATAATTCTATATAGATGCGATTGTACAGCTATGTGATTGAATTCGCCGAATAGAGTCCCTTCGCTGAACGTCTTCTCTTTTTCATATGTCCATCTGCGTTTATATTGCTAATATTATTTGTCTTGAAACTTCTTATTCTTCTCATTCTAGTATTATTATCTCTTGATATTTTAACAACAGGCACCAGAAAACATAAAGCATTATATATACTACTGTTACTCGTGGAATTCCCATTCTCACTACTGCAACTCATCCAGCCATCTGATTGCTCAAATGAAGCGAAGAGAGGTTGTATTGACTTTCGTGATCACAGTCACGATTTTGTGGTACCTCAGTTATATAATCCGCCGAAATCCCCTCCGATCTGAACAGATTGACTCAACTGTCCCAATAATGAATATCGAATCATTTCTTTCAAAACTACCATCACTTCCTGTCTACTCGAATCACAGTATCAAAACCAAATGGTCATATGTTTCATCAGAAATGGGAAAGCATGAGAATAAATTGACGGTAGGCTTTGATGAGAAATATCTGGAGAAACTGTACGATAATCAACGAAAGGGCAAGTCAGTCGTAAGTTAATTTATTCCGAGTACACATTGTGTCTATATTTTGAGAAATAACTTTGTGCATCATTTCCATCTCATCAGACCATGTGACGTGGTGAAATGTTATCTGATAGTGGATTGTCTTCACTCAAACACTGACAAACAGCATATTGCCGTGCATTCATCTTGGTTACTGATCCAAATCCTTATATCATATTTACGAGGTAATTAAGGTCTTTCCAACCATATCTCATTCTGCATGTCCATCACTTCAAGAAGGCTTAGAAATTCGAGAGCACTGAATGTCCTTCATAAAATTGGAGATATCGTATTCACAAAATCAGTGGGATAGAACAGATAGGACAATGGAGGACTCCAATAATAACACTAATAATAATAATGTGGTGAGAGCAAGCTGCTAGCCAATTGGTAGACATTGATCTACGCTGATTGGTAGAAATTAATCTAGGCTGATTCAACAACCAATCACAGCTGACCTAAACGTGGACAAATATGATTCGCAGACAAGTGGCTCGCATTTCCGAGAAATATCGAAAACGAGAAAGCAGAAGACTGCGTTTGTTTGCAAACAACCAATCAGAAGACCGCCTTCTTTCTGCGGGCAGAAGCCTATTAATGTACGTAAAATACATATAGATACCTGTTGGTTTTCGTAATAAAACTGATCTGTTGCCAGCCTTGTCTTCTGTTGTTACAATAATAATAGACTGTAGACCACATTGTGTAGGTGGTGGGTGCAATAACAGCGTGTCGAAATGGAGGTGAAGATGAGATGAAATGAAACATATTTGTACAACGATAGGAATACTTCACAAGTATAAAGCGTATTATGTTTATGTGTTATCAAAGAAATGATGGTCTATGCAAATCGTAAGTTGTACACGATTCGCTGTCGCAGCAGTAATCTCGTTTATCTCCGATTTATTCATCTAGGATTAGGCGCGTTTCACCCTGAATAACACTTCTTGTTAACCTCCTTACAAATGACTTGTATTAATGTGTGGTGGTACATCCTGGATTCTTTCCACTGTTTATTCACTTCCGTTAATTTCGATGATCACATGCTCACCTCGAAAGCTTCGTCAAAATGTGTCTATCTGCAAATCACTACACGGTGCATATTGATTCACCAACCTACCAACAGAAATGTTGCATGAATTTGTGATTACCACAATCCGAATACTGAATAAGCATATGGATGAACAGGTAACATACTGCTTGCGCTGTTGAAATGCCACATCATACCACCCTCACGAGACGTAATATGCTAAATCACCCCGTTAATCAGTACACCACCTAATTTGTAATTGCTGAGAACAAGACACAAATGAAAACGACTCAGTTATCTGCCAATGTGTCCATACGAGTGATATATTTAAATTGAATGGAAGTTGAGGTTATTTTTGGGAGAGGGACATTCGAACTCATCTGACCTCTATGGCTGTTCTACGGACACTGAGCATATGTGTGTTAGCAGCACAAATGGGTAGTGTGAAACGGCGTCCGAGGTTGGATGGATGCTTCGCCGTCAAAACAGCACTTATCATCGCCTTACGCCACGACACGCAGACTGGACATCTATTGAGATGATGTATAAAGTTGATTCGTTTTTCGTTCTTATAATCTTCAGTAAACGTTTATTTTCGTATCGTTGAATGTGCACTACAAATACATAAGAAAGAAAATAATATTTGTCGCTAAGCTTAATTTCAATATATCATAATATTCTTGATTAATTTCAGGTGAAGAAAAAAATTATTATGCATTATGGAGAATATCCGATACTTACAATTAGTAACTACACTTCCTGTTATGCTTGTGAATGTGAACTGTCATATAACAGATCCAGATGGAGAGAGGCTGATATCATCATCTTAACAGATGAAAATTATCCTCGAGGTGAAAGACCGCGGAATCAGTTGTGGTTTATTTTTATACATGAGCCACCTCATAAAGTGAAACTGTCATATGATTTGGGTGACAGAGTAAGTTATAACTCCTGAACAAGTGATTCCGTATATTTATATACGAAGCGTTCTTTTAAACATTCATCTGAAATTCCTGAGTCTCATAACTCTAGCAGTCTTTGGTGGGAATATTTTCTCTATTTCTCTTCCAGCTATCATCCTACTGACATAAGAAAATTCAATCCAGACACTGATTACATTCTAGGCAGTAGCCAACATGACATATGTGTAATAATGAATTTTGCCAGCCACGTTTACAATATGAACATCAGGCTAAGTGACTCACTGTGAATTGCGGTACAATTCGGATTGATGCAACTGCCTACGAAAAGGCGTGCACACCTTGGCGATGACTGGCAGTTAACACCGAACCTAGTCTGAAAACTCCGTGCCGATCACATCCAACTACCTAATGGAATAATGTATGATAAGTTTTGAAGACAGTGGAAAACTAGAAGTTCCACTCATCCATGGTTCCTCTGAATTCGTGAAACTATGACATATAAATGATTAACACTCCACTTATATGATTCTACTGGTCACTTGATCGAATACTCATCTACAAAGCTTTCTGTTTTATGCACATATCTTCACTTTGTGTCCACTCGGATGAAATATTAACATAAATACCGCGTGAGTGAGACAAAGAATTATTTACTGTTCTTATGAAGTTATAGAATGAGTAGCAGAGATACCTCTTCGAAGTAAGCATTGATTTGCATTTAACTGGTTACTTTAGTTATTGAAATGAGACTTGTATGTCCTCTGTGCCTCTCATTCGTAGTACACTTAGCAAGCTTGGACAATCTGAAGAACTGTCGTTTAAATGTGAAAATGTCCATGTCATCTCGCAATGAGTTGCAAGTAGTGTAAATGTATGACGAGTGAAGGACACACTGCATATTATTTAATGTCGATATAAATACATGAGACGGCAGAACTCACAATGGAATCTCTTAAAACATCAAAGGAATTATATAACCACTAAAGAGTAGCTTCAGTTTGAAGAGAAGTGACTGGCCCAGATGTAATGCAGCTGAAATGTCATGATATCCTAAAGCGAATTGGTTAAGAGATTGTGTTTTTTCTTTCTATCAGATGTCTGTAATGATGCCAGCAACTTTTTCGAGTTTGGATGAAAGCACCTGTATACGTCCTCGCCCTATATTGGAATCCGAATGCGAGACGACAATTTGGACGTTGATCTGAGGGTGACATGGAGGAGATAGTGTGAGGAGGGGATAGTCGTGTAACCAGTCAGACAGGAGTGGAGTGAACATGTGTTGTCTAAGCACTATTTTTCAATCGGAATCCACACGTCAACGTTAGTAGATAAATTTCGTGTTAGTTATCCACTATGGATTGAACCAGTCAGAGTAAATTTTCTCATGAAATACGAATACAATGATTCGAGGTGAAAGTGAAAAACAGTCTCACCACTTGTTTTTCATTATTACTATGAATATTATAGTCCTTAACTGGACAATATAAAATTAACAAAACACTAATGCTCATCATTCTGATTTCAGGTGAACTACACAATCACTTATCGACAGGATTCATCAGTCTTCCTGCCGTATCATAATTATAAACCATTTGACCCAAGTCATTCATGGGATACAAGATATCCACTCCCTTCTCGTAATTATGCTATTGGCAAGACTAAAATGGCTGCATGGTTCGTCACCAACTGCAACCCTAACAGTCCAAGAAATGAATATGCGGAGGAGCTATCGAAGCATTTTGAGGTGAGTAGCACCATTATCTGCAGCAAATGTCGAAATGACTAAGAGAGTGTGGTTCATTGAATATTTTATGGTCTCATTAGGCGTTGACATGACAGTCACATTCTGCTTAATGAATACCCTCGATTGGTCACTTCAAGATGACAGAGACACTTCTCTGAGAAGTGTTGGTGGACGCGAAAGTTATTTCAGAGGAATCATACTGATTGTCTCCACTGAAGATGTGGAACTAGTGGCGAAATTCCGCTCCAGAAGACTAATGCAAGCTGCATAATTAAACCGTCCATTTAAGTGAACACCACAGGAATAAGAAGACCAGTGTTTTGAGAAAATCATCACAAATCAGTCCATTTCTCTTCATATTCAGCTAATAATTGAAATGAAATTTATTGTGGGATTCAAACAAACAGACGATTGAATTCAAAATTAGTGGTACATATAGAAGATTGAAAGTAAATGATTCGGCGAAGAGTCTCCTTTCAACGAATTTATTCCCAAACTATCCAGTCGTATAAACCTGTATGATTCCTATTAAAAGTATTGATAACGGTAACGGAAAATATTAGATTATACAATTTACAGAATACTAGATGGTTGGAGGCAATCGGCAGGAAGCCTTGGACTTAGGTTTCGTGCTAGTTGGCACTCATCAGCAAGGCGTATCTGCAACCTTGAAGGAACTGATGTCCCTTCTGAGATTCGAACCCACATCACCCCGTGCTGCAGTCAGAGACGTTGCTACTGAGCTATTCAGGCTCGCGACTGACCTCCTGTAGGACTGTATTGGATATTTTTGATTGAACACTAGTCAGTAACTAGTGTAATGTGTCTAGTCCTATCTTCGGTGCAGACTGAATTCTATCAGTCATGTTTGCAATGTGGCCACCATGCTAGGTGGCTTGCCATTACGGTGCACTGTGAATTGTTGGTATTAGATGGTTGGAGGCAATCGGCAAGAAGCCTTGGACCTAGGTTTCGTGCTAGTTGGCACTCATCAGCAAGGCGTACCTGCAACCTTGAAGGCCACCATCTAGTACCAACAACTCACAGTGCACCGTAATGGCGAGCCACCTAGCATGGTGTCCACATTGCAAACATGACTGATAGAATTCAGTCTGCACCGAAGATAGGACTAGACACATTACACTAGTTACTGACTAGTGTTCAGTGAAAAAATTTACAGAATAGTTTATCCAGTGCATAAATCTCAATGAGGTGGTCTGGAAATGGTGAGATTAGTGAGCAATTGAAACACTACGCGACCAGGTGAAAATTATGGCAAGTGGAATTTATAAAATCGTCGGTCATACGAAGCTTCAGTGACACAGATGAATTGAATACACGATGGATTTGTCCAACACAGTAATGGGACATTATCCTGTGCAGTTACGAAGAGATGGAAGAAGCCCTGTCACAACTGCAATTACTGAGAATCTGATCGATGCTGGACATACTATTTCTGCAGCCTCTTCCTTCACAGTTATCCACAGGGAGAACGCTGGCCTGCCGAAACCATCACTTGTAGGACTCATCTGTGTAGTAGGAAAACCAGATCTTCGTATGCAGAAGAAGCTTATTCAACCACGCCTTCTCTCGTAGTCTTTATCCGTCTATTCTGAAATCTGTCTGTCCTCATTCATACTCTGACTGTATCTACTTTTCTTTCTGTTTATTCAATTTCCGCATCCATGCCTCATCAAGTCGGTTGTTATTACGAATTTCACTTTCAACAATTTCCGGCATTATTTTACTTATAACCTTTGTTTACTTACTTCAATATTACTTTCTTTGCTATGTTGTCTTGTCAAAATTCTCACCTCGTTCAGTGATGTTTCACTCACCCACTAATCTTCTTATTTCTAGATCTCCTCATTGAAATCCATGCACTTCATGAACCACTCTGTAAATTGCATAGCCGATTATTTATCGTCACAATTCACATTATATTAGTAGTAAAAATCACACAGGTTAACAGGATTTTACTTCTTGGAATCGGATTCATTGGAAATTGACTGTTCTTCGAATCATTGAATTTGATTTGAATTTAAGATGCTTGTGAATAAGAGTTGTTTAGCGTCCACGGAGGACATGCAATGCTCTTTTGTCTATGTTGTACATTTCAGAGTCGTCGTTTTGGAATGGAAGTTCTAAACTGTCAGGTTGATGATATTTTCGAGTGGCATTTCAGTAGAATTCAGCTACTCATTTCATCGAATACTGATTAAAACTTAGCGTAATGCCCCACTGATAAGTGTTTCAATCAGATTTCCGTTTCTGCTGCTACATATTCAAAGAATATACATGATACCAGATCACACACTGTGTTCATTTCATAAATCCGCATGACTGAAATATTAAGGGAGAAATTTTCAAGGAAGTGTGTCAGATCACATTTGCCACACTTCAAAAAATTATACAAATTGTGTGGGCAGGCAACCACTGGTAACACGGGTAATACCTAATGCTGGTGCATTTTCTATCCAACTCTCTACCATTCATCATTGCCTCTGGTTCTCTTCGACCTCATTCACTTCACGTTTACAAAGCGTGTGCTCCTCATCATATTTGAAACCAGCTGAGATAACTTCTGCAGCCATCTTCATGCATAATACTGCAAAATCTCACCAACCTCATATTTCTGTCAACTGTCTCTCTTTTGAATCTCTCTTTACTCTCTTGTCTTGCTTTGTGTGCTACATGGAGTGTGGCAACTCGAACTGCTGCACATCTGTGCAAAGTCCAATGTTGAAACTTTTACTAAATTTAAACGCAGAATATCAGCTGTCTTCAACGCTGTTTCCACAGTAGACTGGGTATCGTACAAGATTTCTCCATTACGAGTAATTCTCTGCAGCTCGAACAAATGTTTGGTTAACTCTTCTTTCAGTCAGGATATGAGACTTTCGTCGGAAAATTCAATAAACAAGGCCTTCACAGATATATGCTCTGATCATTTCATCATGCATACACAGGTATGAAATAACACGTGGTTGGAGTTCACACAGTCATAGAAGAAGAAGAAGGAGAAGAAGCGGCAGTGGCAATCTTCTACCGGTTCTCCCCATTGGTGACTTAATTTGATTTATGTCCAAATTATTCACTATACTTAATGTACAAATTGAGCAGGGAAAGCGACACTCAGAGAAAGATTTCGTTCACTTCTGCTCATTGTTAAACAAACTGTAGCTTTGACCACTGAAATAAAGCATGGTAAAAATAATTACAAACTATTTCTATCTGTAGGTTGATATCTATGGAAGTTGTGGTACAAAGACATGTCCCAGAACTAACGAACCTGAGTGTTACAAACTTCTCGAGAAAGACTACAAATTCTACCTGAGCTTCGAGAACAGTTTGTGTCCGGATTATATAACAGAGAAGGTTTTCAGAAATGCTTACAGGTAGGTGAAATGAAGGTGATATATACTTGTCCCACACACTGTTCTTAATATTGTCTCTCCCATGTTATATGAAATGAAATAAGGAATTTCCACAGTATGGCTTATTGGTGAATGGCATAAGTGTTTAGTGAAGTTACGAGGAGTGTGGAAGAGAGATGAGCGGATTATCATGCCTTATTATAGAAGAGCTCAAGTAATCGATTCAGGAGAATACACTGAATGTGCCAGCATCAAACAGTCAGTCACTTGTACATTCCTCACACGAGGGATATAATATGAGGCTGGAAGCCTGACGAGTAAGTCAGTCATCTCCACAGTTGATTGTTGAGTAGTCAATTAGAGTAGGCTAACTACCTCTGTTTGAGACCAGGTGACTTCCTTACACTCATCACAATACATTTTGCATGTATATTAGTAAACCGTAATATCATGGACAACAACATGATTCTGTTGAGTAACTGCGTCACTTAGATCTTGAATATTCGCTCACCCAATCCCACCGAAGTATATACTAAATGAAATTTCCCAATATGTGAACTGAGAAGAATATTTTCTATAGTTTGGTTTGTAAGGATTAGTTATGTTTTTACGAGTTGATCACGGATTGATATCAGTTAGAGAACCATTGAAAAGCGTATATTGACCAGTCTGACTGTAGTGCAGCACCAGATGTCGAGGAAAATGACCATGTGACCTTGTTTTCACCGATGTATTCCAATTAATCCATTTGTCTTTCTTTCACTAGACTGTTGATTACTCCCACTCATCTGATCCGAATAACAATATTGACAATAAACTGCTTTTATGTTGTTTCTTCATCTCTCACAGTCACAATATAGTCCCCATCGTTATGGGTGCATCGATTGAAGAGTACAAACGTGTCTCACCTCCACATTCATTTATCCACGTGGATGAATTTGAATCACCTGCAAAACTTGCTGAATATATGAAGTATTTAGACCGCAACGATACTGCATACAATGAATACTTTGCATGGCGTGAACACGGAGCTATAGATGACTGGATGCCTCGACCTGAGTGTGTTTTGTGTTTATTCGCCCATGTCCGCGAACAACTTGAGCCACACTCAGTGCCAAATGTTTCTCGATGGTGGAATAATGCTTGTTTTGGTCGAAAATTGCGCTGGAATCCTGGAGGTATATGAAGCATCTTCGCCTTCAGTCAGAATTTGTCTTATGTCACTTGTCAGCATATCTATCTTTAAAAATTTTCTTTGCGTAACTTTAACCTATTTTTGGCACTTTGTGAAGACTTTAGTAATTTGTGTAAATACAGGGGAGTAAAGTATAATATTTAAATAGCAGTAATTGTTATTCCTATTCTTATTAGGTTTTACAGTGAATGAATATTTTCAGATTTTGCTTTGTAGGAATTTGACTGGTTTCATATCAGGCAAATGTCTGACATCAGTTGGGGAACCACTGAAATTCATGTTTCATCTTAGTTTGAGAAATTAGCTGACAGTCGCGCTAAATATATTGTGAACTGATTGGCCGTTGGACTCCTTCCTAGTGAGTGGATAATCTACGCACTCCGCTCGTGTCCTTGAGGTTACGGATTTGATCTCTGGTAGTAGAATCTGTGCGCAGCAATAGGGAGACTCATAGTGAGACGAGATGGCTGTTCTGTACTTCCTACTTTCCAGTGTTTGTCCAACTGAGACACGTTCTTTCCTTTCAAGACAAATATCATGTGATATCATTTCATCTTCGAAGCTTTGTGCATTTCTGCGACGTATACAAGAGAAATTAATAGACAGTACTTCTACAGGTGAATGCTAGTGGAAAATATATTTTCAGTGATTAATCACAGGTCGTACGAGATGACAGATGTATATTTACTCTCTCACTCTGTGCCCGTTTTTGCTTTACACTGCACTCAATTAGCCAACGAAGAAGTTGAACATCTGTTTAGCTGCATTATTCCACACTTTTAACCTTTTTCACGATATTATTAACCACTCTTATATTTCAAATATCCTCCGTTAGGAAGGAGACAGAGTTTCAGTAAAGTGAGTTATTTGTGGTCATACGAGTCTTCTTTGAATATGTCATATCTCGTAAATGATGAACCAAACGATACTTGCGAAAGAACTTCATTGAGGACTGTTCCCTGCGACGAAGGAAATCAGAAACCACTAGATGTAATCCGCCTCTCGTATATCAAGAATATCTTGGAGATATTAAGCAAATCACTTTGCTACTTTCCAGATGGTAATATCGAATACATCTGAGGGAAATATCTCACGGTGGCCGGAAGATTCAACCAAGCAACACAGAATGTTGTCTGACCGAGTGATCAGTTCCAACATAGGACTTTGCACAGAAGTGCGCCAGTTCAAATTGTCACACTCCATGCAGCACACAAAGGAAGACAAGAGAGAGGGTGAAGCAGATTCACGGGGAACGGTAATAAACAGAAATGTGAGGGAGAAAGAATGGCGACATGACAAAACAACAGGATCTAATGGATATGAAACATCATAAATAGTGAATGCATTTGTGCTGGTGAGAACGATTTTGAGCCATGTTACCAAATGTCTCTAGCTGCTGGTTTAGTTCTTGGGATCCCGAGTATTTCTGTCAAGAAGCCTTCACCTCCCCACGTGGCTGACTCAAACTAGCTATCACAGACTTCAGGGAGTTATGTCATGTCTCACTTGCCTACCAATAACTCTTTACCGAACTAATTTTATGTCAGGTGGTATTGACAGTCGAGGGAGGTAATGTCTCATAGTGCGTATCACATATACCAGGCTTCTCACTTGACGATGTTTCACAACCCCATCTATTAACATACTATATTGCTTACTTTCAAATTATAAAAACGACGGTTGTAATAAAGAAAGTTTTCTTCTCGACGAAGTCATCATCTAGGCTGCACATCCGTGTATTTGTTGTAAATGTGTGAGAAAATTCCAGAATCAACTCCGGACAAAGTTTGAATTAATAAAATTACAGAGTGTAATAAACAGGAAGATCGGATATAGAACATAGCAAGACAGAGAAGTAATAGGAGTAGTAGTACTATTCTAGAAATATTTCAGTCCGAAGATCAAACTAATAGAATTACAAGGTGTAATATTCGGAAAGATCGGGTAGATAAGACATAATAAGATGATAATCACTGAGAAACTTGACTGTTTGTGCGGATGTATAAAATACAGATCTTGTAGTGCAGATAGCAATTAGATTGGCTCCATCACATCTTGTGTATGACTTTGAAGAACTTTCCAAATGGAGCCAAGTGTCCTGAATTCATCATATATTCCTCTATCGAACTTTATACACTAGCATGTGAAAGCTAAGTTGTAGCATTGGGTCACTTCAGAATTCATTTGTCAGTTCACTAGCTCATGTTGAGCCAGGGACATTGGCGCACCATGCGTCCGCTTTGAAAAAGCACTCGGGAACACTTTCCAGGATGGTTAGCAAATGGAGAACGTAAGGGCATATACAGTTCGGTAACAGAATTTCTACCTATCTTGTTAGTACTACGTCCTCAATCCGTGATTGCACAAACAGTCAAGTTTCTCAGTGATTATCATCTTATTATGTCTTATCTACCCGATCTTTCCGAATATTACACCTTGTAATTCTATTAGTTTGATCTTCGGACTGAAATATTTCTAGAATAGTACTACTACTCCTATTACTTCTCTGTCTTGCTATGTTCTATATCCGATCTTCCTGTTTATTACACTCTGTAATTTTATTAATTCAAACTTTGTCCGGAGTTGATTCTGGAATTTTCTCACACATTTACAACAAATACACGGATGTGCAGCCTAGATGATGACTTCGTTGAGAAGAAAATTTTCTTCGTTTCAACCATCTCTTCAGAGATTACTTGGATATTTCCGTCTTACAGCAATATAACTAACCGTCTTATACCTGCATACATGGGAGATAGAAGACCGACACTTAAGAAGATGATAGACAGCTAGTCACCCAGGCTTTTTCTATCTTTCACTTTCTTTAACCTAGTCTCATGAAGAAGTGACCTGATGAGCAGTACAGCCACCCTTCGATCGATGATCAGTCATATATCACGGCTACTCGAAAGATGATGTAAGCTGGTCAATGCTACATGAGCTATTTGTATCCAGAGAAAGAAGGCCGTCTGAAAAGTCTTTTCCATGAACTGCAAATAACGCTAAATGGAACAAGTAGGCCAATTTGTATTACGACTTGATGAACCACGGAGAACTGTCATAGTCATGATATGAAATCATCTGTAGATCATAAAAGATACGTCCTCAAGCAACTTTATGATTAGACTTATTATTATTATTATCGGAATTAATTTGTGTATGGGCGAAAACAGGCGTTTTATTGATTACTTCTCGATAGTAATAATAGTGACAACTTTATTCTGAAAGAAATGCTGTAACGCATAGTGCAGAATTCTCAGCATATTTTATTGCAAAGTATTTACTGTAGATGTAGAATATTCAAATAAATTAATAATCGGTGCCATATCATGTGAAGCGATATTGTTCTCTACAAATCACTCTCTAATCAATTGTTATGCTTCTCCTGTGTTTTCTTCGGAAAATCCATACTTGTAGGTTGAATCTTATTCTAACATATAGACGTGAGTACAACAGATTACAATTCAGGAATGCAACTGGATTATTTGAGTCAACATGAAATAGAGTCAATGTGAAATGAACTAGTTATTATTATTATTGTTCCCTTGAGATCCTAGGGGAACATAGGGATTCAACTGCACGTCTCCACTTGCTTCTGTCCTCCGTTGTACTTTTCACCTGCATCTATGTTAGTCCATACTGTTTCAACTCCTCTTCACACGATCTCCTCCATGAACTAGTTAGGTGAGTGGTTTTAGCAGGCCTAGTGTTCAGTCTTTGCAAAAAACAAATAGGCCAGTGTTTAACTTCAACAGTTTAAACCAACATTTACTATGAAAGCCATTTCAACGACAACAAGTGATTTAGTCTACAGAATTCACTCTGAACTCACCAAACAAAATAAACACATTCTTGACAAGATTTCAATCAATATTTGAATCAAACAACAGATTTAACACAATGCTCGTAAATTCTACACGTCAATTTTGGTTGTTTTGTAAAGTAGACACTGAGGTGATTCTTTATCTCTGACAGACTGAGTGTTTCCAGATGAAAAAGAATGTTTGCACTTTTGTTTATTATTAACTTTACCTTTCTATATTGATTTTCTTAGAAAATAACTGATATATATATATGTATAAACGAGTTCTATTTTCTGAGGTTGAAGTGATGCTTTTTTAGCTTGTTATGATACTTGTCGACCTAACAGAACAGTAGAGAGAACATTTCCTGTAGTCAAACTGCTACTCAGCTTCTCAAATAAAACAGTACTCACACAAACAGTCAAGGATGACCTACCAAAAATGGCCTCATCAATGCGTATCTATGAATTCAATTGCTCATGTGGAGCTGGTTGCATTGGCCGTAATCAAGGGACTTTATCCATGCTCACACGTTAACATGTTTCTCTCC